TTCTCTCAAGTCAACCTGAGTGGCAGGAAATTCCGAGTTATGCTGACTGTACTGGTTCAAACATGGGACTGCAGAACCAAAGCTTTTTCTTTCCTCATTAACTACCTTATAAAATTAGCTGTTGCAACCTCATTTTTCTCTCTGTGGTTCTGGTTTTTGGTTTTTTTGTTTATTTTTAAATGTGGTTACTTTCATATTGTAAAGTTCCTGGAGCCAGACTTAAATTTTCTTGTTGTAACAAAACCAGAGAAGATTCTTATTTCTGTGTAGAAATGTTATCTGGGAGCTTCTCCCCAAGCTTGAAGTGTCTGTTAGTATCAGTGTCAGGTCCAAGCAAACAAAAAATCCCACATCTCAGAGTCTGGAATTTGCTCTAGCATTATCACTTTAAGATATTAAAAGAAAGCATTCTGTCAACTCTTGTAGCTATTTTATTCATTTCACTCTGTCAAAACATGCCAGTCAATTTTACAGATATTTTAAGTGGGAGGGATATCAGGAGTGTTTGTTTGGAGTCAAAATGTCCCAGATAGTCATATCTTGGTCCTAAGCAGGCATAGATCTCCCCTAGCACAGATTTTAAATACTATCTGTATTAACTAGTGTGACCCTTCTGTTATTGTTCAAGAGAACACAAGTGTTTAGCTTGTGCGCATTCAACCGTCTGCTGCAGCAATAAAGTGGAACAACTGTGAAGACAGGAGAGCATTAAACCCCTCTAAAAAGAACCATGTATTGATTTATACTCACACATGTATATATTTACATACACACAGTCCATCTGTGTGCTGCTGATTGGAAACGATATCGAACCCAAATCCATGTAGCATAAGTCAGCACAGATTCTGATCCCCTCCCAGTCACTACATCTTTTAAAATTAATTACAGGAAGTATTTCTAATTAGAAACTGTGATTGCTTCTTTTCCCAGGATCAGCTTAATGATACAGACCAGGGTTCTCTTAGACAGAATGAGGATGGAGAAATACACAGTCACAAGAATTCTGAATAGTATGTATATATGCAAGGTAAAATACTTAAATAAGACCACTTATAAGCCAAAATGGTGGATCACTGAACATGTTTCAAGCTATGCACAACCGAGGAATAACTGCTTCAGTTCTTTGGAACTGGAGGATTCTGAAGAAATTTAAAGTATCAGATGATTTAATCCCCATCCTTAAACACTGGCAATCATGCAAATTACAAGATTCAGTCATGGTGTTTAAATTCAGAGATTTATTTTGTTCCTAATAATTTGTAAAACTTCCTGAACATCAAGATAAAGAGCACCAAATATGTCAGAGGGTTCTTACCAAAAAAATGTCACAGAGAGTGAAATTTGAATAGAAATCTCCAAATTTCACTTAGGTTATTTAGATTAGCAACTTTCTCACTGTGTTGATAAATGAGTCCCAGAAATTGAAGACATTTTTTCCAGGCTTCAGAGACACCCATCCTAGACTCAAGAGCTAGCCTTCCTTTAAGGAAAGGGAAGGAAACTCTAGTCTGCCTGAAGTGTACAGGGCAGTTCATATTGCAAGTGGTGGCCTCCTGGCAAGCAAATCCATTATCACACCTTAAGAAGACAGCCATTTGACCATGCCCAGGAGAATTCTTGTCTCTCTGGGATGCTGCTCTGACCAAGAACTTGTCTGGCCTGATTCTAAAGATGACATTAAGCTGGGCTTCACCCATTTTCGTTAGCAAGGAAGTCCAATTTAATTCAGAGTTGCTCCACCACTAATAATCCTCTCAAAAGTCTTTAACCATGGTGAGCTGGCTGGCTGTGGTCAGAAAATCTATGCAAAGGGCTAGCTCAAAACAGACTGTGCTGTCACAAGCATCAGAACCTCAGAGGACACTGTTGATCAAAGCTCACCTGACAGCCAGACACAAGCAAGACCTAGACTGCTGCGTACTCTGTGGCAGCAACCTGGTCAGATGACAGGGAACTAAAAAAGTCTGATTAACCATGGTGCTAGGATAAAGAAAGGAAATGCAATGTGGAACAGAAGGGAAGCAGGGGCAGGGCTCACCAAGGGTTCCCTAGCTCCCATCAGGTCTATTTACCCAACAGGATCCTGCTGAAGGGAGAACAGTTCTCTAATCTCTCTACTGTCTTAACCTTTTAGCTGCCCTTTCTGTGGAGGCTACATCTCTACACCAAATCTGACATCAGGAAATATGTGCACAAAAAAAGTAATCTGCCCAAAGGTAGTTAGAAGGAAGAAGGTTCTCCCATTTATTTCATGATCCATGACACCTGTTTGATCTGGGCTAGCACTCTTACACAGTAACCATTAATAGGCAGCTGCACAGAAGATATCCTACTTCTTTAAGAATAACTGACAAAGACATGGTTGAACAAAGTAAAATGGTCAATAAGCACTCTAGTTATACTAAGACACATTCCCAATCACAATTCCTGCCAAATTTACCACATCACCCTCTGATTGCTCATGAAAGCAGAAGCATTCCTCAGCCATGTACAAAAAAGCCCTGAATTTCACCACGCTCACAAGGTGTCACTGCCAAGAGATGTCTGGAATTGAAAAGCTGGTGCTCCTCCTCTCTCATTCAGGCTGGCCAACACATTGGATTTTAGGACTCTCCCTTTCTAAAGACAACCTTAGCAGTAGTGGAAATATGAGTGGGAGCACTCAGGCCATTTAAAAGCTTTTGAAGAACAAATGAGCAGAATTCCACTTAAGTGATTAAATCAGTTCCCATTCCAAATGGAGTTACCTGTCTTTCAAGTCCTCACCTACACTGTTACTTAGTACACACATGATGGACCAAAACCATTCCTATGAATAAAAAAATTCACTTTGGGGTTTTTCTAAAAGACAGACGTTTCCTAATACACTTTTTCTCTTGACCACTTTTGACATAATTTCCAAGATCATGCAAGATTCATTCTGATGCACTGACCAGACTCTTCAGACCCCATTATGCGGTACCCTCAGGAATGAGGCACCGCTTCTGCAACAACTACATTTCAGAGGGAGCTGGCTCATCTCCCTGCACTGCTGTAGCCTGAGACAGCACTGAGGCAGTTAATCTGCAAAGAAAGAATTTCTCCTGACTCACATTGTTATCCCAGTACTCCCCAAATTCCTCAGAGTGAAGAGAAAAAAAAATACAGAAAGAACCCCTGCTGCCCCAAGAAAGCATTCTTCATCAGAGTAGCGAGTTCACTTTAATCAGTGGAGGCAGTTTAAGCCCAAGTTCAAGGCAGATCTAAGCTGCCACAGAAATGTGTTTTGAACAGAAACATTATGGGAAGCTTCACAAAGTTGTTCTGTGATCCTAATATGAAGTAATAAGCTGTTTACCCAGCATGACTGTACTGGGATTAATTGACAAAGAAGAGGAGATTAATTGCTATTATTTCCCTGTCAGCTTCACTCCTCCACACACACTCACTGATCTCACAGACTGCTCCCAGCCCTTCTCTGTGTAATGTGTCAGAACTAGCTCAGCTGAGACAAAGTCCTTTACCAAAAGCAATATTCAGAAAAGCAACCTGCTTCTAATCCCCTTCAAGTACTAATGAACCCAAATTCGATGCAACAGAATGAACTCTAGCACTCCTCTGCCCATCACCCAGTGTCTCTGTCAGCTTTTCTGCCTCTGAGCATGTTAAGAATTGGAAAGGATTAAACAGATCTGCAGTTCAGCAAAGCACAAAGACATTCTGAACTCTGCAAGGGTGCTGGGGCACTGAGGGAGGAAAAGGGAGCAGGGCACATATGTGAGCTGGAATTCTGACAAGTAGGATAAACTTTAAACCGTCTCTTTGGACAAGATCTCAGTTCATGAATACAACATTACAACCACCTAAGAAAGTAGCAATAAAGATCTTAGATAAAAGGCTTTTTTCAAAGATCTCACCTGCAAACGCAAATTTTTCTTGGCCTACCCTAAACGAGGAATCCAAATTAATCAAGGAGAGCCAGAAATACACCCCCGAGAATTCAGCCCAGTTACAGCAGGCGTTAACTAGAAGCTGATTTGAGATTCTGGGAGCTCAAGTACCTGTGCAATGGTCTTCCAGGAAAGAGCTGCACAGTTATGCCAACATAGCCCAACCACCTTCCTATGCAATAAAGGCCCAAGACTATCTCTGGAATGCTGCTTGCTACCTGCTGTTCCAAGAAGTTAAAGGACAAGGGTTTCTTCTTCTGGCTTCAAGTTTTCCTTTTTCCCACCAGGTGGCAGCCTAGGAACGCTGCAGAAAGGTTACATCCACCTCAAAAACACAAGATCGTGCTGGGGATCACCCTTCTTATAAACTACTTTTTGGTGTTACATTGCTGAAAACAGAGTACACATCGAATTTAAAGATGCAGAACGAATATTTTAAACAAAGATTAGGTTTAGTATCAGCTAGCAGCATACCTTCCCAACAGAGCTGACGTGCAATATCCAACATCTCCTAGCTTTTCAGCTAGAAAACTGAGACCCATTAGGGTCAGGCAGGGCATTTGTGTAAGAATCCAGACTCCCTATCCCTTGTAAACAGAGAAGGCTTCATTTGCTCACATCAGAAAGACCTTCTGACCTCCTAACACAGCAGATTACTGCCTTCAGCCAAAAATCACTGGCTCTTATCGTCCAGAGGTGTTAGAGAATGCAGATGTTTTACACATATGTATGCGCTGGTGAACCAATCTACTTCAGTGAGTAGCTTGTGACAACTAAAATGCATCACCCGTTTTTTATTGAAAGCTCGTTTTGTTAACCTTGATACAATCCCTTAGGAAAGAAATAATCTTCATAGCCTACCCACTTCCTTGACCAAAATCACACAGCTTTCCCATGGCACTTGAGCCCTGAGCTGCAAGCATTCCCACTGCACCACTGCCACACTCCCTGCAGCTCAGCCCAGTCCTGCTCAGCAGCCTGGGCTACCCAGGGCTAGAATCCAGTCCTGCAGCACCTCAGCATTAGTTAACCAGAAGGAGCCGATCCCAGCCACCCCCTCACCAACATTACCTGAATAACCTGGCAGGCAGTGACAAAGGAAGCCATTAACAAGGTCCTCACAGAGCCCTCCATTCTGACATGGCTGGGACTGGCACTCATCGATGTTAGTAAAGCAGGTCTCCCCTTTGAAATGGAAACACAAAAAGGTCTCTTAAATGCATCAGTGAAAGAATCTGAATGACAACTGGATTCATAATTTTTCATACTTCATTTTTTTGTCATCTAAAAATGCAAAAGAATTTCTTGAACTATACGTATCTGTAAACCAGGCAAACTATGATATTTCAGTTGAACAACACAAAGCTTCTTGCTCCAAGAGCAAGATACCAAGAACCCGCTCTTCTACCCATTCCAATTATACATGTGCTGTCATGAGAGTTGTCTCATCAAGGTAACACCTAGAATAGTTATCTGGGACTCCATGGAATCAAGTTTACTCTGATGAGACATTTCAGATACCCCTCAGGGATGAATTCTGTCATAGGCATGAGTGACAAAGAGAAACACCCTGGCACCTGCATAGCCAGAGGGCATTCATCAAAGCACTTGGAAAGTGCGCGGGCTGTGACCTCAGCCTGCAGCCAGGCTCCCTGGACAGGTGATGCAAGTCAGAGAGCTGAATGGATCCATCCAGCACATGAACCAAAGCACCTTCCTGGTGCATTGGACTGCCCTCCCTCTGAAATACCAGCCCTTCAGTCAAACCATAAAGCACCTATCAGCTACAAATAGGGTGACCATTCACTGCATAGCTCACCTGCAAAGCCTGGCTGGCACCAACAGAGGAAACCAGCTGCCTGGCTATAGCTGAAATCACTGGGGAAGTCAGGTTGTGCTCCATAGTGGGCTGGGTTGGATCGCTCCAAGCACACACCTCCGTTGTGACAGGGATCTGCTGCACACTCATCCACATCCTCCTCACAGTGCTGCCCCGTGTAGCCTGCCAGGTGACATCAGTGTCAACATCACACACATCCTCACTGGAACTAGTCTCCCAAATATTGTGGCTGCCTTGAAGGTGAGAATATGACCCAGAAGATACTGCAGCTCATCTAGCAGGGAGTCCCAGTGCCCTCCACCTTTACCACCATGTCAAATGCAGGAGCCAAATAACAAATTTGCAGGAAAGTATTACCTCATGATAGAAATAACATATGATGGAACAAGGCAGAAAACAAAATTTTATAATTGAGAATCAGGGAGCATTTCCCAGCAATGAGATCAACTGGATCTTGGGATGAGCTGCAAAGGGCAGCAGTGGCAGCCCCGCTCTTTCAGACAACAGAAGATCACACTGGACCATGCAGCATGATCATTATTTACTCCTTCAACAGAACACTTTGGCATGTGTTCTCCATGGCAGTGTGCCAACACATCATAAAATAAATTTCTAACCTACCTGGCCAGCAGGCACAGCTGTAGTTTTTCACTCCCTCCACACATGTAGCCCCGTTCAGACAGGGTTCAGAGGCACACTCCAGGATATCCAACTCACAGTGGTCCCCCTCAAAGCCTGTGTCACTGCAGTCACAATGGTACCTGTGGGGCAGCAAAACAGAGCAACGCAGAAACTATTAATTTAACTGCAAAGCCCAGTATAAGTAAAGAGCAAATGGAGCTGTTGGTCTTCATACCCACTTGTGGGGCAGAACAGGAAGACAGTTCTATCTGCACAAACAGGCCCTGATAATGATCAAGCAGGCAGCCCTCAGCAGCCTCTGAGTTCACACCTTATATATGAAGAGGTAAATTCAAACACACAGGTGTGTTCTCAGCAGTTGCCTTTGCTGTTCATGCTCTGCAAATCAATTCCCTTTGTGTCTGATATGCCAGCTGGAAGCAATAACAGGAATATTCTCCTACCTTCCTTTAACCATCCTAGGAGTTCTGCTACTGGGAGGGGGCCTTCTCTCTCACTGGCATAAAGCACACTCAGTTACTGCCACTGGGACATACCTTTCATTAAATCCAATCCCCCCCCCAAATCTTCTACTACTTTTCATGGGTTACACTAAGAACTTTAGATAAGTTCTGGTATCTAATTGCCCAAACAAAACTGATTTCTCTCACCTGTTAACAAGGTCATGACATGTCCCATTGTTCTGGCATGGCTGGCTCGCACATTCGTTGATGTCCACCTCACAGTGGGTTCCTTGGTAACCTGGTTCACAGGTGCAGGTGTAGAACCCAATGTAATCATTGCACAAGGCCCCATTCTGGCAAGGGTCTGAATCACATTCATCTATTTCAGCCTCACAGTTTATATAGGAGTTCTGCTACTGGGAGGGGGCCTTCTCTCTCACTGGCATAAAGCACACTCAGTTACTGCCACTGGGACATACCTTTCATTAAAACAAACAATCCCCCCCCCAAATCTTCTACTACTTTTCATGGGTTACACTAAGAACTTTAGATAAGTTCTGGTATCTAATTGCCCAAACAAAACTGATTTCTCTCACCTGTTAACAAGGTCATGACATGTCCCATTGTTCTGGCATGGCTGGCTCGCACATTCGTTGATGTCCACCTCACAGTGGGTTCCTTGGTAACCTGGTTCACAGGTGCAGGTGTAGAACCCAATGTAATCATTGCACAAGGCCCCATTCTGGCAAGGGTCTGAATCACATTCATCTATTTCAGCCTCACAGTTTATACCTTTGTTACAAAACAGAGAAATACCTGTGTTACAAATCCAGTAACTATATCTGTGCTGTCTGGACTGACCTGGAACCACCAAAGCCATGTCATCAGCCAAACCTGGCCAGCATAGTGATCTGTTCTAATTTTGCCATAAGAATATTGGGAGCTCATGAACAGCATGTGATTCTTACAAATTAAAGACCTTTATTTTTTATTTGCAACCAAAATTATTTTGTCTAGACTTTGCATTTTAGTCTATCAACATAAAAAATAATTTCCATTATTTGCTTCAATTTCTTCATTCAAGTTGGCTGAAGTAGCCAGTCAGCACCTCCAAGTCACATCCATTTTCTGGGAAAGCTATTACATCTTCTTAGTGCAGTTCTTAAAAACCTAATGATAGCTGATTTAGTTTGAGATCCTTTGAAGGCAGGGAGGACAGGGATGGAAAGAGAAGAATCCGAATGCTACTCAGTGTTACTTACACTTTTAGATAGGATACAGCTCTTACAGTTTGAATTAGACATGGTACCCCTCACTTGTGTTGCACTGCTGTTCATCAGATCCAGTGTTCTATCTACATCAGAGGCAGCGGCATTTTGGGTATGGGAAAGTGATCTCTACCTGCTTCTCCAAAACATTGTTCCTTTTGTTTAAATAATATTTGTAACTTGCTTTTAGATACCTAGGAAAAAAGCATTAAAACAGTGCAAAATGCTAATTACAGTGATACTAGATATCAGTAAGTGATTTTATTCTGAAATGCTACTAAAAATTAGGTGTTAGATCCAATACTACTAGCCAAAAATAACAGCAAGTCATGCTTTTTCAGTCCAAAGTCTCAACTCTCCCTAACTGAACAGGACCTCCTGCATGACTTCTGTGCAACTGTTTGACCACACTATATTCCACCTCTTTGAGTCCATGGCCTGGCATCACCTCCAAACCTGAGTCATTCCAGTGGCACCTGCCAATCCATCTAATCCCCACTTCTTGGCAAAGGCTCACCACATAGTGGACATGGCTATCCTAATCCTGAAGGAATGTGGGGCCCCTAATCTGCAGGTTCAAGCCTGTCAATACCCACACAAAACTTCCTTCATCCAAATTCCAGCTCCAAGAACCAGAAAACAGCCTGACCTCACTAGCCAATGGTGACAGAACTTCTGGATGAAGCACTATATCATAAGGCAAAGCCTCATATTTCACATCAAAATAACCTAGAGCACAAGCTCCCCCAGCTGCCTGGGTCATTTTATCATTTCCTTGGCAGTGGAATCCCACAATCCTGAATTGAGAATTCAGCATAAAGATAAAAAGGAAACTGGTTTGCAAAGACAGAATTATGCTTGATACTCAAAATCAGTCATAATCTTAAGGCCTACACAAAAATTCTGCCTTTTTTTTCCCCTTCATTTCTGTTATTTTTTATCAGAGTGAGTCAGCATCGGGGACTGCATTCCTGATGTTGTAACTTCTCCTCATTCCACTGGTAATCAGCAGCATTCCTTCACAGCAACCTCTTAAAACACTTTAGTCTGTGACAAGGAGGAAGGCTGAGAAAGTTCATGTGCTAGGTGGTACCAGGCAGACATGGGCGCAGTACAACTGCATTCCACCCTGATGAACAGGGCTGGGGGCAGGAGAACCCCCCACTGCTTCCCTCACAGATAATTCACAGGTGTAGATTACTCTCTAAGCCACCATTAGCACAGATGCACAAAAAAAAGGATATATTTATGTCACATGCCAAAAAAACAATTGCTGGGTGTGAAAGAATTGGAAAAGAAATCTCCAACTGAAAGCCTCTTTATTCCAGAAAAATCCTGCAGGACTAGTACTGCAGACCAGACAGGCAGAGATAAGTTCTATCTGGAAACACTGAGTATATGTTTCCTGATAATAAAGCTCTTTTCTTGTGTATCTCCCTTAATTTTATACTGAGAGTTAATCACATCTACTTTGTGTCTAGTACTTCCAAGTCACAGACAGTCCCCTCACTTTCACTCTTGCATCCATGTCTCTCAACATCCACACCATCCATGGCAATCAAAGCCTCAACTATTTCCCAGAAGCGACAACAATCCCTACACCATTATTTACACACAATAGCTAACACTCCAGAAATACTAATCATGCAAGAGAGGTTTTAGTCTCATGGCTGTACAACAACAGCTTCTCAGGACAGCTACTAACACTACAACACCTAGCAGCAGGCTAATGTGGCACTACAGGAGCAGCCAGCTGTAACCCAACTATCCAGCCAGCACCCGCCATGAAGGGTACGGTACCTGTGTAGCCAGGGCTGCACTGGCACAGGTAATGGTCCATCTGGTTCAGGCAGGTGCCGTTGTTTTTACAGGGCCGGGATGCACACTCGTTGATGTCTATCTCGCAGTTGTACCCCTGGAAGCCAGGCACACAGAAGCAGCTGTACTCGTTCACCCTGTCTCGGCAGATGGCTCCGTTCTGGCAGGGGCTGGAGGCGCACTCGTCGATGTTGTCCCCGCAGTCGGCTCCGCTGAAGCCAGGCTGGCAGATGCAGGAATAGCCCCCAGGACCCTCGACACATGTCCCATTGTTCAGGCAGGGGTGGCTAGAGCACACAGAGCTTTTTGTTTGGCAGCCTTCTCCAGTCAGTCCTGTTTGGCATTTACAGGTGTATCCATTTACACCATCTACACACTCGAATCTAGGATCTTCACAAGGGCTGCTCTCACACTCATTAATATCAATGCTACAGTCAATACCTGTGAAGCCAGGCATACAGATGCACTCATATTCCAGGAGTCCTGGGGTTGCGCTGCAAATCCTTTGGGCAGGACACTCATATTTACTGCATGCGTCATAGAGGAGTTCACAGTTTATGCCCATGTAGGCTATAGGCTCCACAGGGCAGGTGCATTGATAGCCCCCTTCCAGGTCCCTACAGCTGCCACCATTTTCACATGGGGATGAGGAACAGCTGCTATCATTTTCAGAGTATGAGGTTCCTGTTGAGAAAAGAGACTTTTTGTTAGTCAGCACTTGTAAAGTTCTTCTGTTGATCACCATGTATAGCTCAGAGACTGCCCACCTAAATTCTACAGTGCAAGAGGCTGTTCCAACCACTAGCTGAGAAGGATACTGGAGAATGAAACATTTACTATAAAGAAGACAACACAACACACCTTCATATGACTGCAACTTGGAATTTCTTGCTAAGTCAAGTGACTAAATGGCTGTTTTTTAGGAGGCACTCACAAAGCAACCATTTCACTTGTGCTTATTCAGCCCTGCTCTTTTGAGAGCAGTGAAACATATCACCATAAATCCATTCACAAGATGAACTTTGTGTTCAACAACGCCTTTCAGCTGTAGAGCACATCAGTCACTGGGAAACTCCACAGAAAAGGAGGTGGAGAGTGGACACTATCCACAGCTCACCGCCCTGGGCCCTGATGCCTTCCTGCTAGTTTTCACGTGCCATGCTCCATGCTGAGGATTTGCCAGGATCATGCAGCATCACTTCTCAGATGACCTTACACATTCTTTTTACTCATGCCATCATGACCATTTTTGGTCATGTTTGCCTTGCTCTGGTGCACCTTCTACACACCACGTAGTTAATCCGTGTCAGTGGTTTTCTATCAGCTCTCTGCCCCATCAGACCCCCAGTCTTTGTACCTGAAGGTGGAGGCATCCGCTTGGGGGCCTGAAAAGGATTTATAGGACACTTTGGTTTACAAAAGCCTGCCCCTGCCCTGACCTCCTCAAAATTCCTCCCACCAAAAGACTGTAGAGCTTCTAAGTCTTCTTTTAAGAGGCAGTGTTGACAGGGGAGAGAGGGTGCCTAGGGATTTAGACATCCCTTTCTCTTTCCTCCATCATCTCTAGGCCCACCCCACCCCTCCTCTCTCATGTGACACTGGGGAGAGCTGCTGAGCATTGCACTGTCCAACAATCTCATTATTCTGCCATCAACCCTTTTATTCTCAGATTCCCAGTCAGGCAGAAAACAAGGATGACGGAATCTGCCTGGAATCTCTGCAGCAATTAGAGTGGGAGCCCAGGAAACTATTTGCAAAAGAGCTTTACTAGGCAGGATGTGAGCCTTTGTACACTTAATGAGTGACCAGTCCCAGCCTGCACTTTCCAGCGGCCAGGAGCACTGTATGTGAGACCAAGTCCACTGCATGTCCAGAATGACTCCGATTTGCTGCAGATTCCATCTGCAAAGAAATTCACATCTCAACAGAAGCATCAAGCACTGCTAGTGTAGACAGGCTGAAGCCACTTCAAAGGCAGAGTCTTTGGCTCCTATTATGTACAGTCAGTTTAAATGCTTCTTGCAAATATTAAATCCTTTGCTATTCCCTGTCTTTTCCTACGTTCCTTCACAATAGACATATCTTTCTGCACCTTTTGAGAGAAATGCTGCATTCTTGCATTATTACTATACTAGCTTTAGCTACTTTTTATGACAAGATATTTTTTTAGTCAAGTCTAAAA